GCCGATTTCGGGCGATAGTGAAAATTTTGATATCGAGCTAGGAATAGAATTCTGAAAGCGGTTGTAGGTTCGTAGTGTCAGTTGTGACCTATGTATACAATTTGAGGTCATTCGGACTAGATTTAATGTGGTTCGGCGTCATTTGTAGAATTCGGAAAATTTTAAATTCTTAGGCTTGAATCTGTGCTTAATTCATGATTTTGCTGTTGTTCGATGTAGTTTGAAGGCTCGACTAAGTTCGTATGGAATGAATTTGGATGTGTTTCGGATGCTTAACAGAATGAATTTGGACTTAAGAAAAATCTGGTGCCTTTGCTGGTTCTGGTGTTTCGCACCGGCGGAAGGGAGGTCGCAGGTGCGAGAGCCACAGATGCGGAGGGGGTGCGCAGATACGGAACTGGTGGGGCTGGTGATGGAGCGCAGGTGCACAAGTTTGACCGCACCTGCGAGCTCGCAGGTGCGAAGCGTGGGCAAAGGTGCGGAGCCTGGCTGCCTTAGTGAAATGCGCCGATTTGGACCGCATGTGCGGTATCCGCAGGTGCGAGGAATTGCCCGCAGATGCAGCCCCAGCCCGGATAAGTGACCTTCGCACCTGTAATGATTTTTCCGCAGGTGTGTGACCGCAGATATGGCCCCATGAGCGCAGGTACGGAAATCGTTAGGTTGAAGAGGCAGCTTCGAGGGTTCATCTCTCGTTTTTCACCAATTCGATTTAGAGCTCGGTGGGAGACGATTTCTCGAGGGATTTTGAAGGAGAACTATTGGGTAACTAATTCTAACTCTATTTTGATCATAATACATTAATCTATTGTTGTTTTCCTCGTCTAATTAAGGAAATTGAGGGTAGAAGTTTGGAAATGGGGGAAAAGGTTCCCCAATTGAAAATGTGAGATTTGAATGGGAATTTGACGTCGGATTTAGATGATTTTTGTTCGACTGAACTCGTGAGTGAATGGGTGCTCATAATTTATAATTTTTATCCGATTCCGAGACGTGGGCCCGGGAAGACTTTTTGGGCGTTTTCCCTAGTTTCACGCTTTAGCTTCGAATTAATTAGCTAAATTAGTTACTTGTAGTTATATTTACATTATGAAATTAATTTAAATAGATTCGGGCCATTTGGAGTCGGATACTCGTGGCAAGAATGTGATATCGAGTTGATTTGAGCGGTTCAAGATAAGTGGCTTGCCTAACCTTGTGTTGGGGACTTTCCTGTAAGATGTTTGATATTAATTGATGTGTGGGCGCCGTGTACGTGAGGTGACGAGTACGTACACGGGCTATTATTTCAAAAATTCCATTTTTCCTTTCTAAATCATAAACTATTTTTCCTTATTAAATTGCACTAATACGTTTAATTGTTAAACTTAGACTAGAGAAGCATGCTTACGTGTTTTAACTGCCTATTTGACATTCTGTGTGCCATGCTTAGTTAAGTCCCTA